CCTAATGAATCTGTTTGGGACGCTTAGGCCTCTCCTTCTCCTGAAATTCAATCTGCCGGAACATAAAGATCTTCAAATTGCATATCTAAAGTAGTTTAGACCTCCGACATGATAGACTCTTCCCCCGTGAGATGCCTCCCTTCTTCTTGTCAGATCGATAGGACTAGTCTAAGGGTCCGGCCCGAAGCCGATGTTTCTTTTGTGTCAGCCTTCCTTCCCGCCAAAGCAAAAGAAAAGGCTGTTGGTTCGGCTACTACTCTTTCTTCTATGATGCTATTTCGGTCCCATTCCTCAAGGCAGAGGAAGGTTTCCCTGATGACTGATCAACCCATGGAACTATGGTTTGGCTACTTCTGTATGGTCTTACCGAGAACCCTTCAGATAGGGTATCTCCATGTGTGACTATATTTGTTTCTAATTTCATCATTGACCGGGTGAGGCATTCCATACATCTCTACATCTCTTTTATCTGGAGCAGCTAGAGCTAAGCCCTTCTTTCACTCACATCTGGTACCCTGGAGCAGTACCTATGGAAAGGATCAAGACCATAGGGGAGGGGGGAACAAGCTCTTCGGAACGGATACCCATCTCTTTGAATCAAATCTTTCCAGGATGATCGCTTCCAAGCATTTAGTGCCATGTTTTGTTACCTGACTACTGCGACCTCTAAAGGAAAAGAAGCATACTTGAAGGGCCCATAGAGAATAGCCCCTACGGACCCCATCTATCAATCGTTCCATCTCTGCTTTCCCAAAAAAGAAAAATCAGGTTTATCCTATTATCTTTATGCCAACTGTATTGAAATCAATCATCACATTATGGTTACACCACACCATCCGACGGTTGATGTTACCAATCTAATTTTAGATACGATAATTAGATGCTGCTCGAAAAGATATCCTTTCTTTCATCTATGGGACGGTAGATCCACACTGAATCATTCCATTCGAAAGGGGAGGACGACAAAAGAAAAGATAAGGTGTTTCGATTTTGACTCAGGGAAAAAATACACCTACTATAGACTATAGGGGGTAGTCTTAAGGCTAGAAAGGAGATCAGGCAAGGATTCGGAGAGCAGAAAGGAAGTGCGGGGATTCGCACCGGCAACTCCCAAGATGATTTGATCACGGCCCTTCCGGGCAGGGCTGTAAAGAGAGAGAATAGCTTCAAGCAGGTATCCAATTGACTGAGCAAACAGAGGAGCAAGCGCACTAGGCCCCGTCTCTCTCTTATAAGGCAGTGAAAACCGTAGCTTGGAGTAGTCCCGATCTCTACTTCATGAAATTCATAATCAACTATACAAAAGTCCCTTCATTATCTCACTTTTTCTCCCCTTGAAATTGGTTCCTCCCCTGCTATGAGTTCTCCTTCCGACAGGTTGACACTTACAGCTGAACTACCACCTAGCGCACTAAGTCCCCTCATAAGGCTGGCTCAACTGAATCCGATAGTAGTAGTCTCCGTCGACGTCAGTGGTGAATGAAAAGCATATTCACCTATTGCTTCAGTGCCTGCGGAGGCGCTTGCTTAGATGAGAGTGGAGTTCCTTCACCTCCAACAGCTTTCTTTCCTCTCAACCTCGAACAGCCCCACAGCCTCTCTCTCGTGGGCTAACCAATGCGCCCCTACTAACAGCTATCTAATGCAAATATCTCATTTATGAGCCTGAAAGCTTAAAGGCAACTGAGAGCAAGCAAACCATAAGGCCCACTCGACCTGTATGGATTCCCCCTGCCCGGCTCTACCTCAGTGGATTCCGAACTTATATCAAATCAAATGAGTAAGCAGTAGACTTCAAGTCTAAAGTTTCAGATATCAATAGTAGTGAATATCCATAGTCTTTTTCCAATATTCAATTGATCGTATGGAAAGGCGCCTAGACGGAACCTATACGAAGGAGCAAACAAGCAACGGTAACTACTATACTTGACTTGCCCACAGAATTGACTAAAGCCAGAAGTAGAGAATAGGGCTATTTCAGCTCACGACTTGAAATATTGAATACTTTAGGCAGCTTATCGGACTCATAAGCAAGAAGTGGATCCTAGCTCAGGAGGAAAGAGCTAGCCTTCTTTCCTGTCTATAGATCACGAGCTTACTCGAAGAAGTACTTAGGATTATCAAAGCTCACTTTCCGCCCTGTACTGTAGTTCAGAAAGCTGATTGAGGGCAAAACCTCTTCTTCTGTCTTCCCAGCCTCGAGAATCAAGCACCAACAAGGAATCGAGCACGTAGATAAAGATTTTTCAATTCAGGGGATGAATATATGACAATTGAACTGATAAACCAATATCAGTCTCAAGGGAAGTTAGTACTTTCATCAGCCGTAGAAGTTCATATGAAATGACTTGATTTAACTCCAGCGAGTGTAATACCTGAAGCGAGCCATAGAGCTGCTTCGAGGGGATAGGCGAGGTTCCCAAGCGGTAAAGACCATACAGGAGTTTTATGCTCACGGAAAGTCTTTAGTTCGCTGGTCTTTTTGATTTCCCACTTGCTCTGTGGGAATTGAAACCCCTGTTTGCTGTACTAGCCCCTGACCTGTGAGTGAGCCTACACTCTCTCTATTCGAGTGAGTTCCACTTCTTATATGCCATCTCTCCTCTCCAGCTTCTGATTGAGAGATTCGAGGAGGGAAAAGGAAACCTAGGAGAAAACAAAAAGAAGAGGATTCTACATCCTAGGAACAATCCTCAAAAGCTTTCAGTAATTCCTATGAACAAAGGGGTTTTTTAATTACACCAGCTAGGTAAGAAAAAAAAGAGAAAGAGTTCAAATCCCACAAAGCCACTAGGCCAAGAAAGAGACTTTTGTAGTGGAATTTCAATCCACAAAAAAGAAAAGGGTTTTAGAATGATTAGAGTACCCACGGAGCGGTAAAAAGATGGAGTCAATGTGAGGTCTAGCCCCATTCCCGGTCGTGTAAGCCTTCCATTGTTGGCAGTAAGGGACAATCCTTTATTGTATTACTCTTTCCCTCTGCCCGCCAGTCTTGCAGGTCTTTCACCATCTGCTTTTCCTTTAGTTTAGCCTTTTTAGAAGTAAAGGAAGCAGAGAGGACTGGATCTGGATACCGTAAGGCACATGCAACAACATGAAAAGCGTCGGAAAAGGGGATGTGACCATGAAGAGGTTGGGCTGGTTTTGAGCTGCCCTTAGACCGATTCTCTCTTTCGGTTCGGTAGCAGACACCAAGATAGGCTAGGCTGGGAAACCTTATTCGATACGATAGGACAGGTAAACTAAGCAAGGCCTGGAGTGAAAGAGTCTGGGTCAAGAGATTTTCCCCTGGAAGCCTGCCTAGAATAAGCCCTTTTTTATATATAAGCCTTAGGAGATTCCGGATTCAATTCTTTCGAAGATGAGAGATCAGACTATCTCCGAGAAAATAGGGATCACGACCGGGAGAATAACAGGAGTTCGACTCGTTTTTATAACTAACGTTTTACTATTTAGAAATGTCCCTCCTCGCCTAGAAGGATAAGAGAATAGGCAGGAAGACGGGCTTAGTTAGCTCTTTTCAGGTTGAAGAAAGAGGGGCAGCTTTACCAGGGCAGAGGCAGAGGGGGGGAATAAGAAAAAGGGAGCGCGCGTAAGGAGAGTTTATTAGATGCAGGGAAATATTCCCACAAACCCTAGAAAAAGAAAGAACCATTGGTCAACCAAGCACAAATAAAAGAGTCCTCGTAAGGCCTCCAATCAGTGTAAAAAGTACTTTACTGAGTCTACGCAAGGAAGAGAAGAGATTCTCGTGGACCGCTAGCCCCGGTTTGAACTCATGAGATCGAGAGAGATGGGGAAGTAAGCGAAGCTGTTTAAGTAAGAGTTACCTAATTGATTGAATACCAGTCAATTTCCCACAAAAGCATACTTATTTCCGCAACACAATTTCATTGCCTTTGATGCGGCACCTTTAACTGCTAATCTTATTCCACCCGAAGGCTAGTTAAAAAGTCATTGACGCATATGCCACAAAGAGTAGTATCTGAATCTGTATCTGATGAGGATACTGCTGCAGCGGCTGAGTCTGTGGTAGTCTGAATTCATTCCCTCCTCGATGTAGAGAATTGTCCGCCTAAGAGAATCGCGAGTTTACTCGGAGCAGGCTTCCCAAAAGCCTTACAGTAAAGGTAGGTAATCCTCTTCTTCTAATTAGCCTCAAGGGTAGCTCAGACGCCCTCTTCCCATTCATCTTTCCTTTGGGATGAGAAAAGTCTGCTCTCTCTAATATGAGGGTCTGAAAGAGGTTGACTTTCTTTCGAAGAGTTAGCAGGATAAGGGCTTAGAATCGAAGACAATTCGCAAGAAAGAAGAAGTAAGTGAGTCTAATGGCCTTCTTGACCTAAGATCCCCTTTTTCAAGAATAGGTGGTTTGAGAATACGTTGTTGTCTTTGAAAGAATAAGGGGTTACAGAAAGAAAAACGCAAGAGTAGGGGCTTGGGTTTGAATTTGAAAGAAGTAGTTGTAGATGTTATGAACTTAACTGTACTGCTGCATTCCGTAAAATCTTATTCGATTACGAAAGAAGGTATTCTCTTCCGAAAAGAAGAGAGGCATCTTCGGGTAGTTAGCAGCAGGTAGTCATGCTGGGGGTTTGGGGACCGCAGCCCCCCATGTAAGCAGTAACCATGTTCTCGTGGCCGTGCCTTTCTTATTGATTTGGTAGAGACGGCTCTTTCTTTCGACATTGGAACCAAACCAGATTAAGATCTGGCTATTTTTCTTCGTGGGAAGGTTTCACGCAATTCAATTCATGCATGCTTTTTTTCACTATCAAAATACGATTTGTTATTGTCAAAGTCTCTTTTTCGTTTTCGAGAACTTTGAAAAAAGTCCATTGATGTGAACGAGATGAGTGGCTTTGGTGCCATACTGATGCTCTATTCCAAGCGCTGAACTCTTATGCCTTCCATAAACTTGGTATTAGCTTTCAATAAGCTCTTTCTTTTTTCAAGCTATGACGGGCTTGAGTAGTTATTTTTCCTCCGTCAGGTCTGCT